GCCAGCTCAAGGGGAAGCCCCCCTCCTGGCCGTGAGGCTGGCCCATGTCCTTGATATGTCCCTGTCTCAGGTTCACAGCCACCAGCCGGATAGCGACCGCACCCTTGGGGCAGCGCTTCATGGAGCACGATGTGGAGTCACACCCATATTTAATGTGACCTGCACAACGACTCCAAGTTTGTGCTGTCCGGTGGACACAGTGTGACATGCAGGATAGTCTGTCCCCACGCTGACGGGCCCCATGGGCTGTGCTATTTTCTAGTACACACTGGCTGGGGACCTCAAGGAGGATGAAGAGCAAGAGTGACCACTGGCTGAGTGTTCAGTGTGCTAAGTGCTCTGCACGACTGTCTCAGTTAATTTTCTCCACACACTCAGGCAGGTCTGTGATCGGGCGTCTTGATACAGGGCTGAGTGGGGGGTGGTAGGGCTCAAGGAAGGGCAGTTGCCTTGTTCTTGGCTATTCTGTCTTCTGTTTTGCTTATCCCACATCCAACCAACTGCCAAGCCCTGCTGACACCTCGCGGTCCTTCCATTTCCTCTCCATCCCCTCCAACATGTTCTTAGCTCAGGCCGTGTTATTTCTCATCTTGTTTTACGTGATAGCTTGCCAGCTGGATTTGCTGCCTTTTATCATGTTCTCACAATCTGTTCTTCGCCCTGCTTCTTAGTTGATCCAATTGTACATCCAGTCACCTTCCTCCCACCCACCCATCCACCCACCCACCCATCCATCCATCCATCACCACATAACCCTACCCGTCTGCCCCTCTAAGACAGATGAAACTCTCTGCTGCTGACAAGACGAGGGGAAACTCCTGGGCCCTGCCTGTGCTCCTTCCTGCCTCCCTCCTCATTACTCCGCAGGGGAAGCCCTGCCCTCCAGCCACACTCAGCCAGCTGGGTGTCCCTTCATACCTTTGCACACACTGTCCCTTGGTTTTGGGCACCTCCAGACTTGGTTCAGGGGCCATTTCTTTTAAAAGGAGTTTGGCATCTTTGCACATGTCTGTCACCACACTGTTCCATAGATGTTGGGTTTCCCACTGTGACCAGTAGGCTGTGAGCCACTGGAGGGCAGTGCCTGGCTTTTGCCCAGCTCGGTGTCACCAGCATCTAGCACAATGCATGACCCTCAGGCACTTGATAAGCAATTGCTGAATGAATGAATGAGCAGATGTGCTGGGCCAGGGACTCACAGATAGGGCGGGGTGGGGGAGAGATGGGTATTCAGTGGCCACCTTGCTCTCCCACCCCCTAGTCCCTAGAGCATCAGTTAGCGTGGTTATGATGCCCTTGCCAGACGCATGCAGGTGCTCGGGAAAGGCTTGCGGCCAAAGACGGATGGAGGCAGGGCAGCCTGGGCTGGCTGTAAGCAGGGTTCCCTCTATAGCTGTGTTCTCTGTTTTCAGGGGTCTCCCTACACACCCAGCCCTGGTGGTTTTCCAGCTGAAGAATCTGACCAGGAACTGCCAACTCTCCTTCAGGAGCTGGGCACAGCAGAAGAATCAAGCCGAGATCCTCTCTTCTGGATTTTTTTTGGACACCCTCATAATGTTGGTGATATCAGTAAGAAAAACGAGTGTCCTTAAGCTGGAGGCAAACCAGAAAGACCATGTAGTACATCCCCCTACTCTCCAGGCCCTATAACAGGAGATCCCCAGTTTTCCTTTGGTGATTCCTCTAGCATCCTAGAGGCTAGCTCTACGTATGCTAAGCGGGGTGGGGGATCAGAGTATTTATCGGAACCTTGGTCCCTGAGTAACTAATCTGCACCCTCAGTAGTGTTCCATGAGCAGGGAATAACCTTCGGCTGTATTTGAACCATTCAGTGATGTATGGGAAGGGGTGGGGGTACAGTAGGACCAGTCTGCCCTGGGTGGAGGCCATAGGGGTGCATTTTTTTGGTAGAGAATTTAAAAACAACAATAAAACTGCCTAAAAATCAGCTTGTTTTTATGATTGCCTAGCAGGAGCAGTTCTAAACAATGTCAGTGATAAAGTCCTCTTCCCCATCAGCTCCCCCAGCCCACTTGGTGCCCCCGTCTCACTAGAGCCATTACATTTTCTTTTCACACCGTTAGCATTCTTTATGATACCAGAATACAGGGATGCAGTTAGTAAGCCTGGAAGTTCTGCCTGCCCAGAACTTAGGCCCTTCCGGGGTAAGAGGTCCCAGGTGCTTGTCTTTGTGCCCCGTGACCCTGGCCACAAGATTAGCAAGATTAGGCCAGACATTTATATTTGAGCCAAAGGTACCCAGGGCCAGTCCAGATATTGGGGAGCAAGGCAGCCTTGATGAGAACCTGCCCAACAGGGGTGCTCTGAACGGGGTGCTGATGAATGAGCCTAACCCAGTTCTCCGTCTTGGGGAATATCCGTGTGAGGCCCCCTTAGAGAAGGCAGCAGGAACTGCTCCGGAGGTGACATCACGCCTGGGTCACCAGAGATGCTGCCGGTCCTGGACAGTGGGAAGCCTTCTGCCATGAGTTCCTGCAGGCTCTGGAGTGACCCGGTGTGAAGGTGGGCCGCATAATTTCAATTCCAAAGGCACTGAAGTAGGTTTGCTTTTATTTTCCCCATGCAATGCTTGGGACCGGAAGCAGCTCAGGCGCACACAGGTAAGCAATAGGGCACAGTGAGGAACAGGCCAGGTCCCACAGGGCCCACTGGCGCTCTCCCCTCCCTCTCTGTATCTCCCTGAACTCACCATATTTGGGGCCCCTCTCACTCTCTCTGCTCAAACCACACAGGCCTCCTCACTCAGACCCGACCTGTCCCCACCTCAGGCTTGTGCACTGGCTCATTCCCTTACCTCCTCAAAACCTTTGCTCCACGTCCCCTTCTCAGGGCAGCCGATGCAGACCACCCTGTTTAGAATTGGACCCCATCTTCCTCCCGCTCCTCCTGAGTCCCCCTTCCTTGTTCTATTTCTTCTTCTTAACACACGTATCACCATCAAATATATAATCGACTCATTTCTTAAGTTTATTGTCGATCTCGCCCACTGGAATGGGAGCCCATTCCACCTCTGTGTGTTTTATTTCCTGATGTATCCCAAGGTCATGGAAGGGCGCCCGGCACATAGTAAGTGCTCAGTAAGTACTTGTTGAATGAAGAAAAAGAAACAAATAGAGCCCAGCGTGAGGCAGGCCCTTCCAGAGCATCGGTTTTGCGTTCTGGTTTCTATTTTGCTTCTCTTGTTCTGCCTGCCCACCACGGAGGGGCTCTCTCAGCTTCCGGCACAACCAGCTCCCCTTCCCTCCAGTTAGGGTTAGTGTGGGATTTGTGCTTCTGTGGCCACAGGAACAAAAGCCTGGGGCAAGTTGGTTCTGCAGGAAGTCAGTTGATGTGGTGTCTCCCCAGCCCATCCTGTGACTTGGTTCAGCCTCAGAGCTCTGTCCTCCAGGTGTGGGAACAGGGGCCTCTTCTCAGACCGGTGCTCCTGGGGCGGGTCCTGCTCCCTCTGCATCCATCTTTATGCTCCCCACATAGGGTGCGATTCTGTCCTCTGTGTTCTCCCGCTGTGAGGCGTGCGTGCGTGCATGAGAGAGAGAGCGAGTGAGTGAGCAGAAAAACCCTCCCCATTCTCTCTTGTTCTGTGTGGCTCTTTCCTATGCCCCCTCCCCAAGCCTGTTCCCCCAAGAGGGACTTCTGGAAGACCATTCCTGGTTCTTGTCTTCATAGGCAGAGATTCTCTGTAATGACAGCTCTACTCAGAGGACTGGATTGCTGGAGGCTTAGGCATCATTATAGTCGGGGCTGCAGGCAGTGGTTTTCTCCCCCAGGGCCCATCTTCATCCTGCCCTTCCCAGTGTGACATCAGGGTGGGCGGCTGAGGGTGAGGTGCCCTGGCCGAGAGCTTGGTTTGGCAGAGGATCTCAGGAACCGGGCAATCTCTCTGGCTGCCAGGCCTGCGCACTGGCTGTCCTGGTACCCCTGCTTCTATTCTCTCCGCCACGTCCCATCATCTTCTAGGCCCTGCCTCAGGGCTCACCTCCTTTGCGACATTCCACCTGCCAGGAGTGGCCCTCCTGGGAAAGCCAAGAGCATCCCCTTTACCTGATCAGTCGTCTTTCTTTCTCTTGCCATGGATCTTTCCTGCCTCTGTCTGGTGTCCCCAGGAGGCCCAGGTTCTTCAAGGGCTAGCTCTGCCCCGCTCTGTTTCCCTCGGCATCTAGATTAGGGCCTTGTTCCGGTGGGACCTCAGCACTTGACTGTGAATGAAGGCACCTCCTCGGGGGGACAGCTCCTGGGCCTGACACACAGTGGAGGGGTCACTCAGTATCTGTGGCCTAGATGAAGACGCTCTCCAGATACTGGCCCTTCCTTCCTGTGCCCAGTCTATTCAATTCCAGCAATGCTTCCAGCAGACCTAATATGTGTTGGTTGCCGTGAAGGCTACGAAAGTAGATAAGGCGTGCTTTCTGCACCAAGGGGTCTGTACCATCCCCAGTGACTTGACTCTGAGACAGAAACGCAGTAACAGGGGAGGCTGGAAGAGTTCACTCTGCATGTGCTCACCCTGGAAAGATGAGCCAGGCATCCTTGTGGCCTTGCGGCCTCACGGAGGGAAACGTGTAATCTGCCTGGGAGGACAGGCCCGTCGACCTTATGGGACATGGGACCCTTGGCATCTCAGGGATGGGCCGGCCCAAGCCCCCACTTGCCCGTGTGGGATAATGATGGCAGGTGGACTCACAGGGTGGGAGGGGAATTAGGGGCTGAAGAGCCATGTCTAGGCCTGTGGGACCGAAAAGGCAGCAGGGGACAGGTTTATTGTGATGTGGGGTCTCCTCCACATGCTTATTAAAGGAGACAAGTTTCAGCTTTGCTTCTCGGTCTGCCTAGCAGGAGATTCCCACGCTCATAAATGGCATTAATAACTTTCTCCTGCCTTTTATGTTGTTGGGAGGCCTGTCGTCTGCCCCATAAAAGGCAGGGGCACTGACAGGTCTCCAGCCTGAGAGCTGCACGCTTCCGGCCTCTCCACCTTGCCCGCGCTGCCCTGCACGGCTGAGACATGGCCAGCCGTTCCTACCGCTTCGGCTCCAGCGTCGGAGTCAGGAACTTCAGCTCCTGCTCTGCGGTTCTGCCCAAGCCCTCGGCCCATAGCTGTGCCGGTGCCCTGAGCTCCCGCGGGGGCAATCCTGGGGGGCCCGGCTACAGGCACCTTGGGGGCTTCGGCAGCCGGAGCCTGTGTGCTGTGGGGTCCCCGCGCATGGCGGTGAGTTGTGGATGGCCCCTGCGCAGCGGGGGCAGCTTTGGCTACCGCTCCGGCGGCGTGTGCGGGCCCAGCCCGCCCTGCATCACCAGCGTGTCGGTCAACGAGAGCCTCCTCACGCCCCTCAACCTGGAGATCGACCCCAATGCGCAGTGCGTGAAGCACGAGGAGAAGGAGCAGATCAAGTGCCTGAACAATAAGTTCGCTGCCTTCATCGACAAGGTGGGTCTGCGGGCTGCTCCCTAGGGCTGTGGCACAGGAACGGGCCAGGGACTTGGAAACCAGTGACGAGCTGGGTTCATGTTCTCTGAGTCCCAAGCCTGCTACTCATCAGCACATGGCCTTGAGAACATGACTGAATCGGGCTCTTGGTTTTCAGATGTTACCAGCAGAGTCAAATGCAATCAGTAATGGGTGTGAAGCCACCAGACAGAACAGGGCGTTGATTGCTGCTTCTTCCCTGCCCAGCAAGAGCTGAGGGCGTGTCCGTGGCCCCATCTTCTGGATCTCAGCCACCACACAGTGGCAGGGGCAGGGGAATGGGCATGTCTGCTAGGCTGGTGTCTGACCCCACTCCTAGAGGAGATGCCACCATCCCCAGGGTGGAGAGGGGAACCAGGATGAGGAAGGGCCAGACGCTCCTCTCCTGCTCCTTCCACTGGGGACAGAGTGTGAGTTCCCAGGACTTCTGCTGGGGGCGCCCTCCCCACCCAATACTGACACAGATTAAAGACAGTGACTGGAGAAACTCCAGGGGAAGGCCCAAGAGGGGCTGTTGAATTGTACTTTGCTGATGTTGCAGTCTCTAAACCCACCTTCTGGTTGGATGCAGAGCTCTGGTTTTCTCTGACTCAGTGGTGCCCCATCTGAGAGCCTCTCTGAGGGAGGACAGCCACTGAAGTCCAGAGGAGGAAAGGCTCATCTTCCAGGGCTGAATGGTATGCATATCTACACCCAGGGACTTTGGATGCACACAGGGTGACGGCGCGTGGGAGCTTTGCTCTCAGACAAATGCCACCATCAGGAATAGGCATCTCTGCAAGCGACGGTGCTGTACATCTATTCTTAACATGCTGCTGGCTCTTGCCTGCCATCAGCACACTGTGCAAGCTGTTCATTTCACAAGGACATGCACCAAGTGGGGGGGTTGAAATCCAGCCCATGTTCTGTTCACCCAGCTGTGTGCCCCAGCAGGAGCCTGTGTCTGCCTGGAGCGGTCCCTTTGTCTAATTTGCTTGAAAGCACAGTGAGGGCCCTGAACGTGCAAGGACCTTGGCACGCAGCCTTCTGGGCAGCACCCAGCTATGCAGTCTCTGTTGTGGGTGGTCAGTTCCGGTCTGAGGAGAGAGACTCAGACTGCCGCCCCAGGCTGGCTTTCCCTCCCTTGGGGTGGCCGGCAGCACCCCCACCTCCTTGGAATCAGCTCCGGGTGTGCAAAGTGTATTGCCCAGGTGGGTTTAAGCCAGCATAGTGGGCAAGCCCGAGAGTGGGCCTGCATGGGGCAACCCAGGGCAGATGCCTTTGGTTTATTAGGGTTTGGTTTCTTTTCCCACAATGGTGGCCAATTGAGGGCTGCTTTCTACCAGGCTTGTGCTCCCAGAAGATTAGGGCTTGGGAGGAGATCACCTAGTGCAGGGCTGGCAAGGGCATGGGGCCTGGCAGGACCCGAATGAAGCCAAGCTGAGACACATGCCGGCTGGAGGGGCAGCTGCTGTGACTCACCACCGGACCCAGGCCCGGCATGGCCCAAGCCTCTTGTTTGTCAAGGTCACGGAGATCCAGATTCTTGCCTGAAATTACTCAATTACTAAATGTTGGCAATGAATTTGATTTCTGTAAAACAGTTTGCTGGCCAAATAAAACCTGCCCACCGGGCAGAAAGAACCTGGGGCCTGCCCGTGTACGCTTGCTGAGGTTCTGCTGCTGCCTCAGTTTATCGTGAGGCTCAGAGAGAAGGAGGCACTGGGGCCTGGTTAGCGGCAGGGTCAGGCAGTGGGAAGTCTCCTAACTCCTGGTCTAGGGCCCCCGAGCTGGGCTCTCACACCCCAGGATCAGAGGGAGGGAGAGTATGGTGGGTGCATTTTTAAATCACTGCCATAAAAATGCCCGCAAGCCAAGTGGCTTAAAAGAACACGAATTTATTATCTCATGAGGCCAACATCAAGGTGTCCGCCCGAGGGGAGGCCTGTTTTCAGGGACTTGCAGGGTTTTGGCAGAATTGAGTTCCGTGGGATTGTAGGACCGAGGTCCCTGTTCCCTTGCTGGCTCGCTGCCAGAGCTTGTTCTCAGTTTCTAGAGGCCACTGGCATTCTTAGACTCAGGCCCTTTCTCCCTCCACCTCCAAAGCCGGTGATTGTGGTGCAGGCCGTGTCAGGTTCTGAGTCTCCTCCACCTCCTCCTTCCCTGCCCCTCTCCACTCTTCTGCCTTCCTCATCCATTTTAAAGGGCCCATTTGATCCCATGGGGCCATCTGGATAATTCCAGATCTCCTGGTCTTCAGTGCCATGAGCTAAATTCCACCTACAGGGGCCCTTTTGCCATGTAACATAACCTATTCCCAGGTTCCAAAGATTGGGATGTGACCGTCTTTGGGGGGCCACTTTTGCACGCCCCCACATGGCCTGGGGTGTTTTTGTAGGATGGATGTTATTTCATTCTTGCAGAATAAACACATCACAAATATTGTGCTCTACGGGGAAGTGGGGGTAGGGTGAGGGAACACGCCTGGGGGAACATTTGTGACCTGCACTTTCAGGCTTTGCCAAATGATTTGGCCTTTGGGGGAAGGTCAAGCTGCTGTAGGTCAGGGGCCCTCCCCAAGGGCAGAGAAGGCTCTGGGTTCCTGGGCACCTCTCTGGGCTCCTCCTGAGTCTTTTTCCTCCCCCCGGGCGGCAGGTGCGCTTCCTGGAGCAGCAGAACAAGCTGCTGGAGACCAAGTGGCAGTTCTACCAGAAACGCAAGTGCTGCGAGAGCAACCTGGAGCCCCTATTCCAAGGCTACCTTGAGACGCTGAGGTGGGAGGCTGAGTGCGTGGAGGCCGACAGTGGGAGGCTGGCCTCGGAGCTCAACCACGTGCAGGAAGTGATGGAGGGCTACAAGAAGAAGTGAGTGCGGTCTGGCCAGGGGGTAGTTATGGGTGTGGGGCAGGTCTTGGCTGGGTCTACCCAACTCTCCAGGAGGCGGAGATCAATGAAGGTCAGGGTCATTCCAGGCTATTGCTCAGATGGTTCTGTTTTCTCAGCCTGCTCCATCTGGTCTCAGCTCCCAGCTCTTGTGGGCCCCATCCTGGGGAGATAGAGAGGAGTGATGGATGAAAAAGGAGGGTAGAGATCACTGGGCTGGAGGGAAGAACTTGGGAGCAGTCAGCGCTAGGATCGGCGGAAAGGAAAGGTCCCTAGGGAGATATCTCAAAGATGATCCGGCCGATCCCATTCAAGATATCTGATGAGTTTGGATAATTCTTTTATTTACTCTGTAGATAAATCGCCAGGCTCTTGTTCTGCAAGGCTCTGCAATTCAAAGACCCATGTAAATCTTTCCTTTTAACCTGACTTGTTGGGTTTGGCCATTACCTAGTTTAAACTCACCAGGTCACTGCTAATTTGCTCCTCTTCACCTGGTAGATATGGACAGAGAGAAGGGCGATTCTGACATAATCAGTCCTGGTAATATTAACTGGAAGTAACTGGAGTTCTGATCTTGGAAGATCAGGTTTTCCCATCCAGATGGGCCCAGTGATGGGCTTACACTTTCCTTGAGGGGATGCAAATGCCGACACAATTCTGTTTACAGGTGGCAAGGTCTGTCTCCCAGTGTAGGAGGTGTGAGGGCCAGTAATTACACAGCCCAGAGTTTATAGCAGCCCAAATTACTCTGTCATTAAAAAGTTGTGGAAAGTGTGCTTTGAGAACTCTGGTTCTCCCGCCGGATGGGCAGGGCCGCTTCAGGAATGACCTCATGTGCAGGAGTAAGAGAATGTGCAGGGTCGTGGAGGAGGGGGGTGGAAATGTCCCCCAGCAGTCTGGGCACAGTGGGGTGCTTCCAGGATGTCAAGTCCTTGGATGTTGGGGGAGGGGAAGAGAACGTCATGGGGATGGCTTCATGGAGCTTTATGTTTTGTACAATTTTCGGGTTGAAAGGCCCCCCCGCCTCAGCGGAGCATCTGTCTTTCATTCATCCCACAAATATGTCCAGAGAAACTTCCTGCACACCAAACAATTTAACCCAAGATGCAGAGAGGTTCAATGACTTGCCTGAGTTTTGCAGCAATTTTAGTCCAAGCTTAGATCAGAAACCAGGGACTTGAGCTCCATGACCAGTGTCCTTTTGGTGGGTTCTTTGGGACTGAAAAATAGAAGTCCAAAGAGGCCAAGCCTCTTCTCCCAAGGCATGCAGCAAATGAAGGATAGAACCAAGGAGTCTTGAAAACCTAGGGCTCTCTGGCCGGCCCAAAGCCCTCCTCCTCAAGGGCCTCTCCACCTGTGTGTCTCTCCTCAGGTATGAAGAGGAGGTGGCCCTCAGGACCACAGCCGAGAATGAGTTTGTGGTGCTGAAGAAGGTGAGTGACTCTTCCCACATTGGAGGAATGAAATCTTGGCTGCTGGGGGCCTCAGAGACTCACCAAGATGTGTCAGTCTAGTCGTGGTGGCCAGGCACTCGAGTCCACTGACAGATGGAGGCCAGTTGGTCAGCAGTGTCCCTGTGAGAGTGAAATTGATTTACAAGTGGCCATGGGAGTTAAGCAGGGAGTCTACAGAGAGCTGGACAGCAGCACCATGAGGTCTCACGCCTGAGAGTCAGCTACTTGGGTGGTGCCTGACCTGTGTGCCAAGGACGACCTGCTGGGGCGTGCACTCATGGCTCTGTGGCCACCACGTGGTCACGCTCCATGGGCCAGTCTGGCTCAGTGGTAGCAGTCTGCCATTTTAGGCTGTGATTTTAGGCTACCCACTTCAGAAAGATCTCCAATTCTGGAGGAATCAGAAAAAAGTCTGTAAGGGGTCAGACTTCTCTTAACTCCCTATTCCTAGGTGGTCCCGCAGATGTTTCTGTGATAGAGAAGAGTGGGCCAGAACATGGCCTCAGGGTCCCCTATAGAGTGCAGAGGTCCAGGGGCGCTGAGTGACCTGTTATCCTTTCCTCGTGTGCGTTCACCAGGACATAGACTGTGCCTACCTGCGCAAGGCTGACTTGGAGGCGAATGTGGAGGCGCTGAGGGAGGAGATGGGTTTCCTGCAGGCCCTCTACGAGGAGGTGAGTTTCTTCCCATCTCCAGAAGAGCAAGTGACGGAGGGGAGGGCGGAAGCTTTTTGGATTGTGGCTTGTCTTGGGCCCTTGGCTCTAGAGAGCGTTGTCCATCCCTAACTCTTCTAGGGCCTAAACACCTCTCCTTCTGTGACCAGAGGAGATTTTCTCTTGCTCAGGCCTCCTCACAGAATGGAAATGGGTGATGTCCTTCCTTTAAAATGATTTGAAAGACTAGGATTCATTGCCTGTCTACACAGTATAACATGAAGTGGAGATTTGAGAATATAGCTATGGATATATAGAGATAATAATATCTTATTAATTCCGGTAGTGTGAAAACTTAATTAGAAAAGCCAGGAATGTGAATCTGTCCATTATCTGGTTGATTACATTTATACAGATAGCTAGAGCTGATCTGGATTGTTGGGGCCCCAGGTGGAGTGATCCCCTTTGTCTCTATCCCTAGAAATCTGCTTCTGTTGATCCAGGCTTTAATGGAATTCTACCGTACTCAATGCCTTGAGGCCATGGTCCAAATTCCAGCCCTTTTCTCTTAAAATTCCCCTCTGAAATTTTCCAGTTTATTTCCTGAAGCTACAGGTGGGAACTGTTTTTTTACCTATAGCGATGGGAATCGGAGAGGGATTTGGAGCTGAGGGCACTGGTTGCTGTCTCCTACAGGAAATCTACCTTCTTCAGTCACAAATCTCGGACACCTCGGTGGTGGTCAAGATGGACAATAGCCGGGAACTCAACATGGACTCGGTTGTGGCCGAGATCAAGGCTCAGTATGACGATGTTGCCAGCCGCAGCCGGGCCGAGGCTGAGTCCCGGTACCAAACCAAGGTGAACCGGAGGGCCGGGCTGCACATTGGGCAGGGAGGATAGCCAGAACCCGGAGCTTCCCTGGGACAGGTGCCCATGCACTGAGAGGGGCTACAGCACAGGCCCAAGCAGAGCAGGTGTAGGAAGTGGGACCGTGGCTGAAGAACAGTGGGCTGGCTCTCTACAGTGACAACCCAGAACCCCCTCCAACAATGTCACAACCACTGGCTGTTTCTTAATGTTGGTGCCCCAACCCACAGTGCGAGCAGATGAAAGCCACAGTGAGCCAGCAGGGTGAGAACCTTCGCAGAACCAAGGATGTGCTCAACGAGCTGAACCGCCTGATCCAGAGGCTGACAGCGGAAATGGAGAATGCCAAGCAGCAGGTCAGGGGGCGCTGAGACCTCACCCGGTGTACCTGCTGCTTCTGATCTGCTCTCTGCTTTCCTCCTACCTGGACGGGCAGCTCCTATCTTTGGAGAGGCTTAGATTTTAACCACCTGCACCTGAAGTTTGCACAAAACATTTTAGGGGGAGGATAGGTCTGTCTACCTTCTCTGAATTCTGCTGTTATTTCCCTTCCTATCCCTTCACTGTTTCTCTCCTTCTAACATACCTTAGATAACGTGGTCTAGGGCAGGTTGTGTCCTGCTGTCTCTCTCCCCGCCTCTCTGGATGGACTTGAGGTGCACAGACCTGAACTGATCCCACGCCACTCTATTCAAAGTGCACACTACCACCGTCTGTGCATCTCTGCAATTGAGCGTGTTCTTTCCTTCATCTTTATTCCGTTCTCCTCCATCCCCAGACTCATTCTCATGCAGCTAATATACGTCCCTCTTCCATACATATATTTACATACATACATATGTATCCTTTAAAATAAATTTATATAAACTTCTTAGTGTTTTAAATTTACATAATGACATTACACCATAACTCTCATCTGATTCTTCCCATAGCCCGTTCAAAGTCTTTGAAATCCATGCATGTTGCTCTAAATGATCTGTTTCATCTTATCTATGCTATCGAATGCATTAATATTCATAAACCAGAGTTTCCTGTCATTCCCCTATGGATGGCCACTCCGTTTGCCTCCAAGTCTTTGCTACTACAACCAGTTGTATCATGAACATTTTTAATATATTTTTACACATGTATACATGTTTCCATGTACATCTACATGAGAGATGTCTTGAAGGTATAAAGCAAGAAATGGAAATGTTGAGTTGTAGGATATTCACTGAATTACTTCCCATAAGAACCCTCAGAACTCTGTGCCAGCACACAGTCCCACCATAGGCAGGTGGGGGCTTCTGCTTAAACTCACTATTATCAGACTCCAGTACTTGTGGTTTTAGTAGGTGTGAACCAGCAACAAGTTGTTTTTTAAATTTTCATTTCTCTGGTTAACTAGTGATGTCGAATGTCTCCTCATAGGCTTACTTACTCATTTGCATTTCCCATTCTAAGCACTGCCTATTCCTATCATCTGCCCATTTTTGTATTGTGATTCCTGTCTTTTTTCTTGACTATTTGCAGGAGATCTTTGTCCATTCTGTCTAGACTGTAATCCTTTGTCAGATCTGCATGTTGTAGTTCATCTCCTCTCAGGCTGTCACTGGTCTGTTTGCTTTCCTGAACAGAAATCTTTAACCTGGATGTGGCCACACCCATCAGCTCTTCCCTTAATGGTTTATACTTATGAAGGTTTGAGGTCATAGAGGTATCCTCTTGCATTCTTGTCTTCGACTAGTTTTATAGTTTTACCTCTCACATTTAGGTCTTTAACCCGTCTGAACTTTATTTTTTGTATATACAAAGAGTAAGGTTTAAGCTAATTTGTTTCTACAGATAGTAAGAAAATATATCATGTAATCCGTTCCTTACCCACTGGTTTGTGATACGACCTCTGTCCTAATCCTGAGTTCTCACATACCCGTGGCTCAATTTCTATCCTCTCCCTTCTGTGTCATGGTTCTCAAACACTGTGTAAGATGTATCACAATTAATTTATTGCTATTCATAGCTGAGGTGATAAAATATGGGAATGGTCCTGGAAGTGAAATTAGAGAAGATTGGAAGTTATCCTCGCTTGCATGCTAATACGCTTTTAAAAATATTTATTTCATTGTGGTAAGAACTGTTAATATGAGATCTACCCTCATAATGCATTTTTTTAAGGGTACAAGACATGATTGTTGACAGTGTGGTACAGTGGATCTCTAGAGCTTATTCATCTTACTTAACTGAGACTTTATGACCATTGATTAGTAACTCCATATTTTCCCTCCTTCCGGCCCCTGGCAGCCACTGTCCCACTGTTTGATTCTATAAATTTGACTCTTTTATTTTAATTTTAAATTTTTAAAAATTTGACTATTTTAGGTATTTCATATAAGTGGACTCAGGTAGTTTGTCTTTCTGTATCTGGCTTATTACACTTAGCAAAATGTATTCAAGATTCATCCATGTTGTGGTATATTGCAGAATTTCCTTTTTTTTTTTTTAGAAGTCTGAATAGCATTCCACTGTATGTTTATACCACGTTTTCTTTATCTGTTCATCTGTAGATAGACACTTAGGTTGTTTCCATGTCTTGGCTGTGGTGAATAGTGCTGCAATGAACATGGGAGTGTTAATATCTCTTTGAGATCCTGATTTTAATTTTTTTGGATAAATACTCAGAAGTGGGATTGCCGGATCATAGGGTAGTTCTATTTTTAATTTTTTGAGGATCCTCCACACTGTTTTCCATAGCAGCTGCACCATTTTGTATTCCCACCAACAGTTTGCAAGGGGTTCAATTTCTCCACATCCTTGCTAACACTTAGCTTGTTTTTTTGATAATAGCCAACCAGGCAGGTGTGAGGTGATTCTCATTGTGGTGTTGATTTTCATTTCCTTGGAGATGAGTGATGCTGAGTATCTTCACATGTACTTGTGGGCCATTTATATGTCTTCTTCGGAGAAATATCTCTTTAAGTTCTTAGCCCATTTTGAAAATCAGATTATTAAGGGTTTTGTTTTTGCTATTGAGTTGTAGGAGTTCCTTCTGCTTTAAGTGGGGCAGAGGGGAGGAGCTACAGTTAGTATGTTGGGTGTTTACGTGGGGAATGCTTCCAGTATGCTGATCTCAGTGGGTCAGAGAATGGAACCCTCTACAGTGGCCTATGAAAACCTGGGCTTGGCACTAATTACTGGTAGCTTAGGGCAAGTCACAGCTTCTCTGAGTCTCATTTTCTTCATCTGCATAATGGGAATAACCATGCCTGTTCTCACAAGCTCACAGAGTAACCAGAGGCAGATAAGGTAGCATCTGTGAAAGTGCCTTGTAAACTAACAACGGTAAACAAACGTAAGATAATATCACTACTTATTACCCGCCCTGTCCCAGTGCTAACATTCCCTCCCTCTAACGGCTCACCAGGGACTTGGGTTTTACAATAAAGTGGTACAAAAATGGAGGAAGAAACTCCAAAGGGCCATTATATCCCGGCTTAGTTTATTTGCAAGTTGACCATTTTGAATGGGGTTGATCGAGGCCATGGGGGACCCACCAGCGTTCCCACAGCCTGCACCCCCCTCAAACTCCTTTCTTCCTCTCCTCTCTGACAGCGCTGCAAGCTGGAGGGTGCCGTGGCAGAGGCGGAACAGCAGGGCAAGGCGGCCCTCAGGGACGCCAAGTGCAAGCTGGCGGGGCTGGAGGAGGCCCTGCAGAAGGCCAAGCAGGACATGGCCTGCCTGCTCAAGGAGTACCAGGAGGTGATGAACTCCAAGCTGGGCCTGGACGTGGAGATCGCCACTTACCGCAAGCTGCTGGAGGGCGAGGAGACCCGGTGAGGATGGGGCTCAGGGTCACTTCACATCCCTACTCAGGGCTTGAAGACTGTCTCGCTTGACTATAATCCTCCAGGCAGAGAGCATTCAAACCAGGAAAGACTCCAGAAAGACTCTAGAAATCATGGGAGTCCAACCATTTCCCCATTTTCAGACGGGGAAACTGAGGCCTAGAGAGGGGAAGGAACTTGTTCAAGGTCACAGCTACGCTTACATTACACCAATCTCCTGGTTAGGGTTCCAGTGATCTTTGCCCTCCTACACTGCCCCTCTGGTGGCACCTCAAGCTTGTTCCAAGACAACTGCTTTACCCCGTTGGCTGAAAGGATGTTTCTGCAATCACATCTCAGTGGGTTGCAAAAGCTGGAATCATTCAGAAGATTTGTAAAAGGCCATTTGATTTGGAGTGCACAGACAAGGAGCCCCGTAGTTCCATGTTCAGGACCAGCAAATGGAGATGAGCAGCTCAGCGTCCTTGCTTAGCAGGGAAAGACAGGGCTGGACATAAATCCATTCTCCAGGTGACCAGGGTTAGTATCCCAGGGAGGCTGTTGGGGGCTTCTCAGAGGAGGAGGTAGAAGAGCTGAGGGGGTGGGAAAGGGACAGGAGACATCAGGCTCTGCTGACAGTTTGAGCCAGGAATCGGGGCAGTGAAGTCAGCAAGGGAAGGAGCAATGTGGATTTACACCTGGGGTAGTGGTGGGGCCCCTAGCCTAGAGGTGGCCGCATCATTACTGCCTCCTAGCTGGGTCCTGTCACGGAGGAGCAGGCTAGACTGGGGGGAGTAGAATATAAAGGTTAAGATCACAGGCTGGGAGCCAAACCACCTGGGCTCAAATCCCAGCTTTACCACTTTCAACTCTGAAACCTTATGCCGCAGCCTCCTAATCTGTAAAACAGATAATCATAAAACCCACCACTTTAGGCTGTTGCAAGGATTAAGTGAGTTAATGTGCATAGTAAGCACAAGTAGGAGCAGGTTACAATCAGAGTAAGAATCTGTCTATCCAGGGTGGCCAGGCAGGGCTGTACTGCGGAGAGGCTCCTTATTAACCAGGTTAGCTTTAGAAATCTGACGTGTGTGGCACCCAAGGCAGCCGGCCATGCTGCTGGATTTGTGCTGTGCTTGACCAAAGCAGGCAAACTTTTCTGTCCATGTCCTCAGGCCACCAGAGTCTACCTCCTTCTTTGTACACTTAGCCTCAACCCGCCCATCAACATTCAGTGAGGCACTGGGCATTTGCGCCATGAACCTTACTTTCACTGTAATCATTATCATCATTAGCGTATTAATAACTCCACCATATAATGAATGAGGCACTGTCTCCAACACATGAGATTTTATTTTAGTTTTTAAAGATTTAATTTATTTATTTGACAGGGAGAGACACAGCGAGAGAGGGAACACAAGCAGGGGGAGTGGGAGAGGGAGAAGCAGGCTTCCCGCAGAGGAGGGAGCCCGATGCGGGGCTCGATCCCAGGAGCCTGGGATCATGACCTGAGCAGAAGGCAGACGTTTAATGACAGCCATCCAGGCGCCCCAACACATGAGATTTTAAAAGATGGTTTAGTGTATGGCATCTTGCATATTGTGTCCATTGACCTTTTAACAGATTTTCCCTTCTTGGCACTTAATAAGTTCAATTGGACTACGCAAGTAATGCTCATTGCAGAAAATAAGAAAATAAAAGCAGCCATCATCACTCGACTTGGAGACAGCTGCCACTAGCGTTGTGACTCCACAGGCAGGATGATGGCTAGAATCTTCTGGAAGGGTACAGTTCCAAGGCTGTGGTAGAGTCAGATTCACGTGGCAGGGAAGTGAGCCCAAAGCATAGATCCTCACTGAAAAGCTGTAGTGTGTAGAGGTGCTCTGCATCGGGCAGAAGGAATCAGACTAGAGCTTTCCTGGAGGGTCAGGTTTGAAGCTGGGGGTTAACAAAGAGGGAGACATAGAACTGAGAGTTCAGGTGGGTGTGAGGGAGGAGGGGGCCCACTGCAGTGATATACATATCCCACCATCAACGAGATGTTTCTAATGTTAATAGCAAACACAGTGGATTTACTGTGTGCTGGGCTCCATTTGTAGGCACTTGGCAATGTAGAGCTTACCACAATCCTGGAAGGTGGGTATGATCATCCCTGTTTCAGAAATGACAAGACTGAGGCATGGAAAGCCTAGGTGACTTGTCCAAGGTCACCCAGCTAGTAAGTGGCTCAGCCAGATTTGTGCCCAGGAGGCTTGCCTCCAGAGTTCAGGCTCTTAACCACCATACTCTCCTGCCTCCCTCTGCATTATCAAGTCAGGTGGGTATCTGGGGTAGCATGTAAACTCATGGGATACGAATGGATCGATTCGAATAAGAGGCAAGCATTTTCCTACCTACAGGCGTCCAGTTAGGCAGTGGCTGATCCCATCCTCTATTGGGCTGTGCTGGAATTTCCAGCCAGGGGTCAAGGAGGATAACCCCCACTGTAACCCATGTCCACCTTTCAGCACCCCAACCTTCCATGGTCGAGAAGCAAACAAGGCACAAAGTGGCCCTTTGGGTCCTGCAATCTAACATTCCCCTGTTCTTTGGGGATCCCTGGGAGCAGGGGCAACGCTGATACTCTCTGCAGTGGGTAGGCAGCATGCCCCCAGCCCCTCAGCTCTGCTCCCCTCACTCAGGATGGAGCAGAATAGGCCCAATCGAGCAGGAGCAGAGGAACTCCGTTCTGAATGTTTGCTCTCTCTCTCTCTCCCCTGCAGCTTGTGTGAACGTGTGGGCTCCATCAATATCTGTAAGTTCGGTGTATATCACGGGCATCGTTCTTTTGAGTGTTAATACTGGGTTGCATCTAATGGGTGACTCTGTCTGCAGGGCACTGGGTGGGGGATAAAGGGGCTGAGGTCTCTGGGATCTGCACAAATGGATGGTCCAAAATATTTGGCCCCTCTGCGGGTCCATCTGGAACATGCATGAAACCTAAGCTAGTGATGGTGGCAAGTTCTGCCCGCCTAACTGGTTCTGCGAAAACAGCCCAAGTCTTTCAGTTACACAAAGAATATTCCTCAACTGGCACAATGTTTTGATAAGAAACACGAGATGTTTATTCTGATCATTTGGGGCCACTGCAGGCAACTCTTAAATCTTTATCTTTAATAATCCAACATGTATGCAGTCCCTAGGCTAAGTGTCTACCCGTACTTCTCATCCTTGCAGCAACCGTATTTCTAGATGATTCCACCACTGTGACCATCAGTTTTTGCTCAAAGATTGTATAAACGCATCTCAACACTAGTCTGGTTCAAGTAGAGTTAGGTATCCCGTTGGCTAAACACACTCCTTCCAGAAACAGATGGCAATGGGTTTGGATTTGCCTGGAGTTGTAAAGATTCATGTTGCTGGTTGCGCCGAATGTGAAGAAAGCAAATCATTGGTTCCAAAAAATTCTGGGTCATGTCATGTCGGGGATGGAAGAGAATTCTGACTCAGTGTCTCTTTCCACAGGTGTGAGCCATTCCCAGGGCGGTGTGGTCTGCGGGGACCTCAGTGCCACTATCCCCCGTGGCCTGGGGGGCGTGGCAACCAGCAGTGGCATCCTCTGCTCCCCCTCTGTAGTGGGTACCTGCTCCAGTGTCAGATCGGTGCGGTTTGTGTAGGGGGTGTGGGTCTGACGGGGGCAGGGGTGGGGAGCAGGAGGGAAAATCATTGCTCTCTGAGACCCTAAGGTCAGTGTAGGAGTTTCCCCTGGCTGGGAACCCAGACAGACTCTCCAGTTTCCTTCTTACTGCAGTTAGGACTTACCCTTCGAGTGCATGACTGCCACCTCCATTGAGTCTCCCTTCCGGGCGGTCCAGCTTTTTGATAGAAGCTGCTCAGCCACTTTCTTCCCCAACTACCTTCAGGTTAGCAGACATTTACTAAGTACTGACTACATGCCAGACCCTCTGGGAAGGGAGCCGCGTCGGGGAATGGCGATGCGTGGGCACACCTCTGCTTTGCCCTCAGAGGAGCGGCGGGGCGTGTCACCTCAGCACTGAGGGGGAGCGGGGCAAGTGGACTGGGGGTCTGGGAGGCCCCTCACTGATCTGAGAGATTGTGCATTCCCAGGGTGTCCCCCAACTCTTCATGTGTCAGGATGGAAAGGTTGACTGAAGCTAATGGCTGAGGTGTTTAGGTTGGTGGTTGGTTGGGATTTTTTTTTTTTTTTTTTGTATTTGGACAATTCCTGTTATGGCTCCTTCTCTCTTTGAGTTTGCGCGATTAAATATTGACGGTAAAAGGTTTTCTCCTAGTATAAATGAATGCCTGCTTCCTTTGTGGTTTTCCCCAGCTCCACCCCCCTCAATCCCTGACCATCTCAGTGCTTCTGCAAGTGTGGTCCACGGACCACCACCACCAAGTCAGGGTCCCCAGAGATGGGAGGTGGAGGGGACTTCTTCAATTAGTAGATCCTGGGCTCCCTCCAGAACTACAGAAGAAGTTGCATGGATGAGCTCGGGGATCTGAGTTTAAACAAGCTCCCAGGTGATTCCTAGAGGAACTAAAGCAGACAACCATTGGTTTATGTGGGCAGAGGGGGTAGGAGGGTCGGGTGATTCTGACCGTGGAGCTGACTTCCTCTCTGACTCTCACAGGATCAGCTTCATCTCTTTGCATTTCTCCTTTGACTTTGCCGAAAGGTCAGAGCCAATCTGGGGCCCCCACGCCTGGGTGGGGTGGAGGCGAAGGGAGAAGGGAGGAGAGAGGAGCCTGTGTCCACAAGCCCCTGCTAAGTGTCAGGCACATTGTATGTGTATTTCATTCATCGCTCACAGCAGCGGCATTATTATCTTGATTTTATAGATAAGGAAGTCCAGGCCCAAAGAAGTTAAGTACCTTTCCTGAGGTCACATAGCTAGGCCAGCGTTCAGACTGAGGTTTAGGGAATGCTCAAGTTCATACACTTTCTATTGTCTTGCCCCAGTTGTACCTTCAGACTAAACATCCTGGCTCATCAGACTGCTTCTGGACGAGGGGTTCTAACTGACCCTGCTTGCTAGTCAGACACTTCAGAAATAAGACACAAAAGATGACACAAAGGAAACTCCTCGAACTGTGGTAGAAACAACTCCCATAGTCTCTGCTCTCCAAGAATCTTGGGCAGATCTTCTTATGGGGCAGTTAATACAGGTCAATTATGTGAGGACCCAGAAGTAAAACCCAGACTTCTGGTTGGAGGACATTTTCCCTGACGGCCTGGATGGGGCAATTGATTGGGGAAATCTGCTTCTGGCCTATTCCTGAACTGACAGTCCCCAAGAAGTCCCACTGGGGAAGACTGTTTGGAGTCCCCGTTGAGGCAAGTGGTGTCCCCCTGCTGAAGTGGAGAGAGGGGTTTCTGATGGACAAGTTTCTTTCATTTGCTTTATAGGAAGAATTCCACATCTTCCACTTTATTTTATTTGGGATTAAAACAAAAGATTCAAAAACAACTTGACTGGGTAGAAGATATTTTGCCATGAGAATTCATACTTGATCTCAAGACATAGAAAAACCTATGAGCAGTTCTTTGGGCAATGCAGTCCTTCTGATGCTTTCAGAATGTGTCCTCAGGGGGCACATTGTTCCCCTGCAACCCTGGGAGGACCAAGATCTTTCTTAGTGTATTACTCCCCTAGTCTCTGCCTCCTGGCCTTAGAGGGTCCTGCAGGGGCTACATGCTGGGCACACCACGGTCTGGATCCCACCAAGTTTGAGTGGAGGTAAAATCAGGTCCAAGGGCCACCAGATCTGCTCCGAGGAGGAAAGGGAGTCCCACTGGGCACCTCCCGCCCTGGGGCAGAACAGGGGATGGAATGGGGGAGGGCCTGCCTTTCCTTTCTGGTGGTGATGGTGGAGGGTGTGTATACACATTTTTGTGTCTCTGGTGTTTTCTTCATTTTTAATGCAAAAGCTCATCCTTGGGGCGCGCAGTCGGTTGAGCATCCAACTCTTGATTTCGGCTCAGGTCATGATCTCAGGGTCATGAGATCAAGGCCCGCACTGGGCTCTGTGCTGAGCATGGAGCCTGCTTGGGATTCTCTCTCTCCCTCTGCCCCTCCCTGCCTCCTGCTGTTTGCTCTTTCTCTTTCTCTCTCTCTCAAAAAAAAAGCTCATCCTTTGTGCGCTACCTCCACCCCACTCATTCCCTGGCTACCCGCTCTCACCACTGCTGTCCAATAGCACCAAGAGAATAAGAGTGGGCACTTTGGAGGACCCTTTGTTTTTGAACTAAGTGGAAGTGGGCAGGGATTTCCAGGGGGCACAAAGGGGGTCTGGTAAGTGTCGGGGGAGGGGCAGGAGAGTGGTGTGAGGCATCTGTGAACTCAGCCACTCCCCAGTGCAAGTCCCCCCCGCAAAAAAAGAGAGCAGAACCTTGGTCATGTGTCCCCACTGCTCTACTTTTCAATGAACAAAACACTCAATAAATACAGCCTCTTCTTAATATCCGCATTCCCAGAGAGCGTCAGTGGCTTGCATATGCGGACAGAGGGTAAGCCCAGATAGCCATTTCCAGTGTCCCTGTCCATTCCAAAGAGCGATATACTTTCTGATTTCCTTGCTCATGTGGTTAGTTTATATTTCTCACTATGCTTGGTTCAGGTGAGTAATGGCAGCGATCTGTGTTTCCCGAAATCCCAAAGACTAAAGCAGGGACATTGGAGACGCTGGGCTGGTTGAAGGAGCCAAACTGGGAGTGGGTGTTTGGGAGGATGGTCCAAGGGGAGGGTATTTGAAACATGGTGGAGGAGAACTTGTGGCCTCAGGGAGGAAAGAGAAGAGGAAAGCCTAACCTGACTTGATTTTTTTTGAAAGGACTGTAATCCATACTTCCCTCATCCTTGTATTTTGGGGGAACATTGAATATTTGAATAAGGGTAGACTACAAACAGAAGGTCTGATTTTCTCTGATGGAGGTCTTATTTGGTTTGTGGAGTTTTGAGGGAAAGGGAGCCCAGGAAAGAGCTCTGGAATCACCCACATGGGCCAACTTTATTGTTTGGGCCACTTGCTCTGGAATTTACCTGGTCTCTTGATTTCAGACCACTAGGTTTCTCCTTAAATTTTTTTTTCTAATAAAACTTTAATCCTTCATTGTCTTTGGAGCATATCCTTTGCTTTGTGTGAGGAATAGTTCTTTTATCAGGAGCAGGCCGTGGGAGCCCCAGGATCCTTTGCTCTGCATTTTTGCTGTTGGCTGCAGGGAGGGCTGGGGTGGAGGTTTCATCCTTATAAGATGATGGCACCTCAGTCTGGCCCAGTCAGGTGACTGGTCTTTGCACACAAAGCATGGAAACTCATTAAAAAACTTATTACTATCTCCCAGCTTGTGGCTGTTTGACTTTTCGGTGCATCATGTCCTATTTTGGGGGTACCAGATTTGGTATCTTAGTTATGCGTGACCCAGACCTATGGGAACATCCAGGTGTTTTCCCCCCACAGACTCATTCCAGAAACCCAGAACCACGGGAGGTAGCAGGGCTGAGGAGGGCTCGGCTCACAGAGCCCCAGGCTGATGTAAAAAGTGTGAAGGCCACTTCCTGCTCCATGTCTCACTGAGACATGGCAGAGTTCATGCTCAGGTTTTGATTTTCAGCCCCTGACTTTTAACCTTTCCTGTGGATGAGTGTTGTGCCCTAAATTGAATGTTTTCCTATTGTGATTAGGACCATGCCCTTGAGTCCCGGAGAGGTGAGCAAAAGGAGGGAGGCGGGTGGGAAATTTAGAGCAGGCCTGCCTAGTGGCAGCCGGAAAACCTCAAACAGCAGTAGCTGAAGCACTCAGAAGAGGCCAGCCACCGCCCCCCACCCCAAGGGAGCTGCAACCCTTTGGGCCTGAAGTGAGGATTCATCAGAACACAGAGAACCTTAACTTCTCTTCTCAGGGAAAGGCTGGGGGATGGGGCAGCACAGGGGGCTGGCAGGTGGATGTCCGCTTAGAATGGTGATAGCAGGTCTGTTCTCCTAATGGAGAAATGGAGGGGAGCCCAACAGGGCTGATGTCTACTTCTCCTGCTCTACAGCTGTCTGAGCTCACCCAGCCATCCCAGGCCTGAGATGGCCTGGAGCCCCATCCTGGATGTTGGCAGGGGGGTCAGAGCCAGGAGGAGATATTTCCTGCTCTCAAGGAATTTCCAGCTTGATCCAGGCTCCAGATACACCCGGTGACATCCCTGGCCCTGAGCCACCAAGTCAGAAGCAGAGATCCTCAGGGTTGGAGACAGTGTGGGGCAGGGGTAGGGGGACTGTGCATGTGGGAGGGAGGGTAGGTAGGGAGAGCAGAGAGAGCACTGGGTAAAGGCAAATGGGAGGAGAGGCGTGGGATGGCTTATGTGTCTGTGTGGGATGGTCCTGGGTGGCTTAGAGGGTGGGCTTGTCTCCATGGGGTGGAGCCCGCATCTTGGAAGATCGGCACTGGGTAGGGAGTGGTTGCACAGGGCAAGGAGCTGGTGGGGAAAGGGGAGACGGAGGGAGCCGGTGCTTGGCATCAGGAGCATAGGCACGTGCTGGGAACTGGTTTGAACCAGGGGGTAGCAGGTGAGAGCGATGAATTTGGGGTGGGATTTTTGGCTGCTGGGGGCGGGTGGGGGCAGGGAGCAAAGTGTCATGGGCAGGGAGCTGGAGCTGTGGTCCAGGCCTAACTG